CGCTGACACTTCAACCCCCCACCCACTTGGTGGGATTAATACCTACCGGCTGACACTTCATACCCACCCCACGGTATTGGATTTAATACACTACCGCCGACAACTTCGAAACCCCCCCACGGTGATGGATTTAATACACTACGCTGACACTTCAACCCCGCCACGGTGATGGATTTAATACACTTACCGCTGACAACTTTCAACCCCCCCCCACGTTGATGATTTAATACACTACCGCTGACACTGTCAACCCCCCCCCCACGGTGGTGGATTTAATACACTACCGCTGACACACTTCAAACCCCCCCCCCAAGTGATGGAAATTTAATACACTACCGCTCTGACACTTCCAACCCCCCACGTGGGGGAATTTAATACACACCGCTGACACTTCAACCCCCCCCCCACGGTATGGAATTAATACACTACCGCTGACACGTCAACCCCCCCCACGGTGGTGGATTTAATACACTACCGCTGACACTTCAACCCCCCCACGGTGATGGATTTAATACACTACCGCTGACACTTCAACCCCCCCCACGGTGATGGATTTAATACACTACCGCTGACACTTCAACCCCCCCCCACGGTGGTGGATTTAATACACTACCGCTGACATACTTCAACCCCCCAGGTGATGGATTTACTACACTACGCTGACACTTCAACCCCCCCCCCCCACGGTGTGGATTAATACACTAACCGCTGACACTTCAACCCCCACCACGGTGGTGGATTTAATACACTAACGCTGACACTTCAACCACCCCCCCCCCACGGTGATGGATTTAATACACTACCGCGGACACTTCAAACCCACCCCCCCACGGGGTGATTTAATACTCTACCGCTGGACAACTTCAAAACCCCCCCCACGGTGATGGATTAATACAGCCTACCGCTGACACTTCAACCCCCCCCACGTGATGGATTTAATACACTACCGCTGACACTTCAACCCCCTCCCACGGTGATTGATTTAATACACTACCGCTGACACTTCAACCCCCCCCACACGGTGATGGGATTAATAACACTACCGCTGACAACTTCAAACCGCCCCACGGTGATGGATTTAATAACACTACCGGCTGACACATTCAACCCCCCCACGGTGGTTGATTTAAATACACTACCACGACACTTCAAAACCCCCCCCCACGTGATGGATTTAATACACTTCTGCTGACACTCACCCCCCCCACGATGGTGGATTTAATACACACCGATGACACTTTCAACCCCCCCTCCACGTGGTGAATTTATACACTACCGCTGACACATCAACCCCCCCCCACGGTGGTGGATTTAATACACTACCGCTGACACTTCAACCGCCCCCCCCCCCCACGGTGGTGGATTTAAATACACTACCGCTGTTGAGAGAATATGGCCTTTACCTGCTGTGTTTATTATATATTATAAATATAAACACTTAGCTGATAAATGACAGCATATCGTCACACAGCCGCCCCCTGCAAGGACGAGTCAAAGCTGTCGAAACCATCACAACAGTGGGCTGCTCAAGATACAATTTGGTAAGTATAACATTACCTCTAGGGGGTGTTATGTCCAGCATATTGTCATTCGATGATGCTGACGAATACTTACTTGTTTGACTCAAAAGTCCCACACTTACTACTGCCGATTATAGGTTGATTACAAATCCTTGTGACTCAAGAATTGCGGCAATCCCCGATCTACAAGAATCGTAACATATACCTTGCTCTTTGTAACGTGAGCTATGGTGTGTCACACCTTCGACAGATATCGGTGACTTGAATAAAGCTGAAGTGTCCTCGCTGGTCCACGTCTTCCTTGTCTTAGGAAACGCACACTGTACACTATGTACAACAAGGATTCGTCCATTATTGTTCACAATGTATCACAAGAGAAGCTGATCACGAGATAGGCCGGGACCCCTTTGAGTGACGGGTAAGCGAAGGCGACCCATCCCATGCTTGGGGTTGGGCGTGGGGGGGGTCGGTGTGAGCCTGTAAAGTCTAATTAAAATACATTCTAGCTATTTAGATTAAATTTTATAGGAAAGTACCATCAAGACAACCAAACCATTTACACCACAGCCATTATAACTATCTTTTTTAAATCATGCATAAAGAGAATAGAACTCAAGACAGCATAGTATTACTAGATAGGCTATTAAAGTAGAGACATCAGTACCTATTAATGTCAGCATAACCACTACAGCACTATTATTCCCTTTAAAATCACTGACTTCATTATTGCTATCATTGCATCATGCTAAAGACTATCAAATCATATATACTCAAGAAAGTAAAGAATTGTTTATATTCCCACAGGAGGCACTTTCTAATAAACTTTTTTCTGGATTTTATATGGCAAAATCATCATTTATAGGGGAAAATCAATATTTCTTTGTTAGATCAGACTCAATGGTCAACAAGCTAGGTTACACAATTTGTCCTTGGCTCATTGTTGAACGGAGCTGGTTATTTCACTCTTTTCAAAACAGAAAATGAACGTTCTCCTTCACAGTTATACTGGACGTGTTAGGTAAAGGCGATACACAAGTCAACATAGGGCAGGTTCTGAGATACCTGCATTTCTTAAAATGTTTCAAAGCAGCTGAGGGCGCACATTTTTTTCAGGTGGATATTTAATCTGCTTTCATAAACCGCAGAAAATGAACTATTTCTTCAACAAATGGTTGTCCTGAACATCTGCTGAAAGGTGTTGTTGCAACTTTTAATGCAGCTTCTCGTCAATTCTGCATCTGGCATAGTAGTAATTTTGAACAGAAATCCAAACTTGTCATTGAGATTCTGGTAGATATTTCTTTCTTTTCACTAATTCTGTAATCATGAATCCAAATGACGAAGTATGTAGCTGTCTTACATTTCTGTCTTGGTAGCAACACAATTTCATTGTCTGGCTCTTCAAAATTGCGTTTCCTCTTCCTTGACCATGCTGATCAGGCCCGGTACTGTAGTCTTTCACCAGCATTTAGCTTTCTCTTCAAACATTTCAAAGCTATCATATCCCTTAACATTTTAGAGGCGAAAACAAACATTTATCCATACACATCAATAATCTATCACAACACTTCATTTAAATTTGTCACAGTACAAGTCTAGATAACGTGTAATGACTACAGAAAATATGGAGAGGAATCTCCCATACTCTGCCATTAGCGGGAAAACACAGCTATTCTGATGAAACAAGGCGGTTGAGTGTTGCCATCTGATGGTTAGGTTTATTTATTTTATTTTATTTTATTTCATTATTTATTTTTGTTTTGATTAATTTTTTTAAAAATCAATTTTACCTCTCAAAACACTTGAACTTTTTAGGTAGGGACCCTTTGCAACTTGCACCATGTGCGCAGTCTGGATGAGCCCCTGAACCCCTTTGGACGCGTGGGGGCTCCCCAAATGCGCGGGGCCCTAGGCAAGCTGGCCTAGTTTGCCTATGCGTAATCGGCCCCTGATCTTGTGACCACTCGCTCCAATATTTGTTTCCTTCCTTAGCATTGATAATAATAGGTATTCTCCTTTACTAAACTAATCAATGTAACTAATTTGGTGTTTAAATTTCAAAACAAGATGAATAACTCATAAAAGTTTTGACATCCACATGGAATATTGGAATTTAAAGAGGTACAGGCGGAAATCATGAAATGAGATTAAATTGATGATGGAAATAAAAATTGTGAAAGTTCCTAAAAAAAGAAATTGGGCTATTTAGAGAAATAAATAACAAAGTTAATTATGTGCAGAGGAAGGTTACAAAATTCTGAATTGGGTGATTATGCTAAACACCTATCTTACTTCCCAAAACTCATCATCTAACAAATTTAATTGTTTTAAATGCCCATAAAAATGTAATGCATGGTGGGGTACAAGATACCTTAAATTGTATTAGGGAAACTTTCTGGATTCCACAAGGACGGCAAAGTGTAAAAAGGGTGATTAAATCTTTGTGTAATATGTCGCCGTGTGGATGCCAGATCCTATATGTACCCAGGTCCTCCACCATTGCCAAATCAGCAATTTGAGTCATTTAGCATCGACCTCCGCCTGGCTGCAGTGTGGAAAATAATTTCCCAATATTATGCTGTGTAAATAAACCTGATTAAAAGTGTATTTTTAAAAGAAGTATATTATCGAAAATGGGAAACCCTGTGCCTGCGCAGAAGACACTCGCCATTGTTGTTTTTGAATTTGGATTAGAAACGTTGGTATAATGTGAAGAATTTTTCGTGCTCTAGAGGTAAAATTGGGTTGACACCTCTCAAATAGGAGGCAAAATTGTTGGATGTGCATTCCTGCATAACTTGAGATATCAGACGACTGGACAAGACAGCTCCAGGAACCTCAGATAAGCTATATAGATTTGTGTTATAAATTCGGGCCAGTATTATTTTCCCATAATCTAGTTGAGTGATGGTTTTTCTGAATCTTGATACACCTTCAATCTCCTAGCCAATGGATGAGTATATAAGATAATTTCTTTTTTCGGTTAATGAAATGTGTTTAATATATAATCCCTTTTTTAATTTAATATACTGTCCACAAATTTAATAAATTTACCAGCATCCCTGGTGATGTATATTTCATTTGTAATTAATAGGTCCAGACAAACTTGTGGATAGACGGGGTAGTGTAGGTATCGAAGGACATTTTTGCGCTTAGGTGTCCCAAATCCTACTTGTCCTAACTGGATAAATAATAATTATCTTTGTTCATTTACTCTTATGTACATAATGATACATTCAGATAAATGTAATTTTCCACAGTAGTAGTAGTAGTAGGAAGAGTATAGTAGTAGTAGTAATAAGTAGTATAGTATAATTATGGTTAGTAGTAGTAGTAGTAGTAGTAGTAGTAGTAATAGGAGTAGAGTAGTAGTAGTACACTGTTATTTGTTCAGACCAACGCTTGACGTCCCTCACCGGAGTCTTCGTATTTGCCAGAGTACAAAACAGCTCCAGCATTGTCCGGTTATTATCGTTGCAGGTTACCTCTGAGTTTGGAAGTGATCATATCTACAACTGTGACACTTTTAACGAAATGACCCCAGCATCCAGTGACCCAGAATACTTGAGGAGCGTCGGTGTTGCTGTATATAGTGCCATATCCAAAGCTGACCCCGACGCTATATGGTAAGTGGCTTACATTGTTCTACAAACATACTGATTTTAAAACCGACTTTCGATATATTTTTTCTGGACTGTATTACCTTCATCTGTACAGTTTGAACTCTCTTCTTCATTTATACCCACTTCCAAACTTCATCACCAGCGTCTGCAGCAGCGTCTTGGAATTTCTGTCATAGATAAAAGACATATCTGACAACCCCAACTAAGGAGGCATCACCCTACCATTCACTTTTACAACCCCATCAAGCAGAATTATACAGCTATTGTGGTAATTTCCCTGGGGGGGTTAAGTTTCTCCTTCTTCCTTCTATCAACTGTCTCTTTCCTCATTATATTCATACACTAACCTATCAGAAAATATTTTAACTGAATTTTTATTAATAATAAATATTTAATATTTTGTTATAAATACATTAATTATAGATTCAAATATAATGCAGCACCAGCCACACAACACACACACACACACAAACACATCACACACACAACACGTGCTCACACACACACACACGCGCGCACACACATACACCTCGGGGCCAGGAGCTGGGTCCCTCGACCCCAAACCACAACTAGGTGAGTACACACCAGCTGATCCTTGGATTTGACGGCCTTCCCCCACAGACCTCTTACCTTTTCACACTCCCTCGCGTTTCTCTCTCTCATAGCCTTCTTCCCTCCTTTCTCCCTCTCTCTCTCTTTCTCTCCCCTCTTCCCTCTCCCTCTCTTTCTCCCTCTCTCTACGCTTTCTCTCCCCCATCACATTTCTCTCCCTCCCCCTTGTCCTTTATCCCTCACCCCCATACTCCTCTCCTCTCTCTCCCTCATTCTACCCTTCTCCTTCTTCCTCTCTCTCCCTCTTCCTTTCTACCCTCTCTCTCTCCCCCAACATCCCTCTCCCTCCTCTAGCCTTCTGTCTGTGGTAATACAAAGTAAAAAAAAAAAAAAAAAATGGGTGGCCTTAGAGGACGGAAACCCAGAGATCTGGTGGACGATCCAGGGATGAAAGACTGGGAGCTAGAGCTCCAAAAAAGGGAGGGAAGAGTTGGGAAGGAAGATAGTAAGAGCTTGGAAGAAAAGGAGGAGCGATTAGCTGAAGAGTGCAGAAGTGGAAGTACAGGTCCTTAGCAGCAGAAAGGCTAGGAATACAGTGCTTAAAGAGAAACTGCGAAGCCTGAAACAAGATAGAGAAGGGGACAAAAGACAATTCAGGTGTGACATCAGGAAATCCAAAGTCAGGCGCAGACAAGGGATGGTAAGCAACAAACGGAGACATGCCGAACATGAAGGCCCTAATCAGACCCACGTGGGCCAGAGGGTAAAGAACGACGAGCACACTAAGATCAAACGACAGGTCCGAAACAATGAGGTATGCTATATGCAGAGATTCATAACAGCCAACTGCAGTAGCAAGGACAGCTGGTCAGGAAAGACATCCACTGAGAAAAAGTTTCAGTAGACAGACTGAAGGCAAGAACACGTCCAATGGAATGAAATAAAATGCCTCAGGAGGACGCAGATGGAGACTCAGTGTGGGAGGAGGAAAGGGAGCGTGGTCATTTTTGTGTACGGGCTACCATGAAGTCCAGGGGCCAACTTGAAGAAAATAAAACAGGAGAGAAAAAAATGATTGAAGGCATCAGAAAAACAATAGGGGAGGGCAATATGACCCAGGTGACAAATTTTCAGAGAATTGGTGGTTTGCGAGTGGAAGGATACGGCCTGTAAGTAACATTCAAGGAAGTGAATCATTTCGAACCAGGATTCTGCAGAGAAAGCAAGACTGAGGGACAAAGAGGGGTACCAGAGTGTATAACCTCGACCGCGACAGAAACACAAGAAGAAAGGACTAGACACGTAAGAGAGGGTACAGAGATGCAAGGAGGAATGAGGGGTGGCGAGAAGCAAATGAAAAAGAGCAGACGCAGACACATGAGTGAAGGGCAAACACACCCCAACAGAATCCTCCCACCAAAAGACCCCACCCGCGACATTCCCAACGCAACTGAGCCACCTATACTACACCCACTCACTGTTCCCTCTGCCACACAATCCCCATAGCCACTAACCACACCCCAACAGCTGTACCACTTATGGGCATTCTGACCCACCCCATCAACACAAACCCCACCTACCCCAGCAGCCCAATAGGCCCCCACCAAGGCTCTTTGCTCCCCCAACACCCTATATCTTGCATGAAACACAACGATAGAAAAGAAACTAAAATTTGGTACACAAACGCGATGGAATAATTAATAAACATGAGGAGTGGAATGAAGAATCAGTGAAAAAATCCCAGACATCATAGAAGTCCAAGAAACAAAACTCGCTGAGACAATAACAGACACAATCTTCCCAACAGGATATCAGATCCTAGGAAAGATAGAAGAGTAAGAGGGGGAGGAGGGTTGCACTTGCTCATAAAACACACAGATGGGGATTTAAGGAATGAATGGCATGGACATGATTGGAGAAAGAGACTACATTGTAGGTACAATTCCAGTCCGGAGAAACATAAAGTAGTCATTCCGAGTGATGTATAGACCCACCACAGAACTGCAGGAGGCCAGAGAGGAGTATGGCGAAGAAAAACAACAGGGTGATGGTGGACACACTGGCTGAGGTGGCAAGAAGAGCTCACTCGAGCAGAAGCAAAGTTACTGGAAATGGGCGATTTTCACCACAGGGAGATCGTCTGGAAAACCTGGAGCCACATGGGGGTCCCCGAAACATGCGAGAGCCAAGATGATGGATGTGGTACTTGAAAAACCTCATGCATCAACATGTCAGGGACACAACCAGAGAGAAGAGGGGAAGATGATCCATCAAGACTGGATCTTTGTGTTCACCCTGAGCATTCAGACATTGAGAACTCACTTATGAGAGGCCCGTTGGAGCTAGCGATCATGTGGTTCTGAGTTTTGACTATTATAGTAGAGTTTTACAAGTGGAGAAGGTAACAGAAACTGAAGGGGAACAGGCCAAACTAAAAAGGGGGTGACTAACACAGGTATGAAAACTTCCTGCAGAGGTTCACAGTGGGACAGATGAAATGTAGGAAAATCATAAACGAGATGATGGAAATATGTGGCAACAAAGGCAAGGAGGCATGAGGAAAAGTTTTGTCCCAAGGGAACACGGAAAAATAGGAAACCAAAACGAGTACTTGTTTACCCGAAGGTGTAGGGAGGCAAAAACTTAATGCAACAGAGAATGGAAAAGTAAGGTACAGAGGCATAGGACCCAGAAAACAGGAGATTATAAGAAGAGCCAGAAACAGTAATGCACAGATAAGGAGGGAGGCCCAGCCGACAGTATGAAAACGACAAGCATCGAAAGTCAAATCTGACCCCAACTGCTGTATAGCCACATTATGGAGGAAGACAACAGTCAAGGACCAGGTGATAAGGCTGAGGAAAAGAAGGGGAGAACTCACAAAAATCTATTCAAGAGGTATGTTAGGAGCTCAACACGAGATTTACGGAGTATTTACAGTAGAGACTGGAAGGACTCTGGGGGAACAGACCAGATGGGGACACCAGCAAGGAATACACCAACAAGTGTTGGACCGACATACATACAGATGAGGAGGAGGTTGAAGAAACACTAAGGGACATCGAACCTCAAAGGCAATGGGGACCAGACAACATCTCCCCGTGGATCTTAAGAGAGGGAGCAGATATGGTGTGCATGCACTTACCACAATCTTCAAACACATCCCTGGAAACTGGGCAACTACTGAGGTATGGAAGACTGCAAATGTAGTTCAGCCAATTTTAAAAAAAGAGATCAGAAAAGAGGCACAAACTATAGACCACCTGTGTCATTGACGTGTATAGTATGCAAAATTATGGAGAAGATTATCAGGAGGAGAGTGGTGGAGCACCTGAACGGAACAGGAGTATAAATGCCAACCAGCACGATTCACGGAAGGCAAATCCTAGTGGTCACAAACCTCTGGAGTTTTTATGATAAAATACAGAATGTACAGACAATAGAGAGAGGGTGGGTTTGATGCAATCTTCTGGAACTGCAAGAAGGCCTTTGACACAGTTTTTTTTTTTTTTTATTTCCTCACAAGTGATTAGTGCAGAAGCTAGAGCATCCCAGGCCATATAACAGGAAGGGCAACTCGCAATGGGATCAGAGAATACCTGACAGGGAGCAACAACGAGTCATGGTACGTAATGAATGTATCACAGTGGGCACCTGTGACGAGCGGGGTCCCACAGGGGTCGGTCCTAGGGAACGCAGTGCTTATTTTTGTATATGTGAAACGACATGACGGAAGGGTAGACTCAAGAAGTGTCCCTGTTTGCAGATGAAGGTGTAGTTAATGAGGTGAATAAATCTGAAGAGGACCAGGCAGGACTTCAAAGATGACCTGGACAGACGGACACCGGTCAGCAATGCTTCTCGAATTTTAAATCCTGCCAAATGCAAAGTCATGACGATGGGGGAGGGGCACAAGAAGACCACAGACAGAGTATAGGCCTAGGGGCCAAAGACTGCAAAACCTCACTCAAGGAGAAAGATCGTGGGTGAGTATAACACCGGCATGTCTCCGAAGCACACATCAATCAGATAAATGCTGCACATATGGGGCGCCTGGCAAACCTGAGAAACGCATTACCGATACCTCAGTAAGGAATCATTCAAGACACTGTACACCGTGTATGTCAGGCCCATATGGAGTATCAGCAGCCTGTTGGAACCCGGCAACTTGATAAAAGCACGTCAAGAAACTAGAGAAAGTAAAAGTTTGCGACAAGGTTAGTTCAGAGCTAAGGGGAATGTCCTATAGGGAAAAAGATTAAGGGAAATCGTGCCCTGACCACACGGAGGACAGGAGGTCAGGGAGACATGATAAAAGGACATATAAAATTACGCGTGGAATAGACAAGGTGGACAAAGACAGGATGTTTCCAGGGAGGGGACACAAAACAAGAGGCCACAATGGAAGTTGAAGACACAAAAGAGTCAGAGAGATAATAGGAAGTATATCCTTCAGTCATAGAGTTTGAA